AGAGAGAGAGAGAGAGAGAGAGAGAGAGAGAGAGAGAGAGAGAGGCTGAGCGATACAAGATTGGTTACCACGTACCTGCTGCGCTGAAGATTGGTTGTGCGGTCCACGAAGAAGTAGCGGCCATCGCCACAGAGCTCGGAACACGGAGGAGAGAGGGGAGAGAAGCAGGAAGGAGGAAGAAGGGAAAACGAAGGTGAAGACAGACATAGCCGGGGGTGTACAAAAAAAATAAAAATAAAATAAGAAACAGCGAGAAAGAAGAAGGGTGAAGGAGGAGAAAGAGAAGGGAGATTGGCGAGGAAGAAGGTGCCGGCAGCCATAGCCGACTTGAGGGTTGACCGGCCGTTGACCAGAGGGTTGACTGGAGCGTTGACCAGGGTTTGACCACGTTGACCAAGCGTTGACCAAGGCGTTGACTGGAGCTGCTGACCACGATTTTGACCAAGCTGGAGTTGGTATAATCTCGCCGAGCCCTCAGCCTATCCCCTCCCCCTATGGATGTGCACTCACCCTATGGTACATGCTGAGTCTGAGTCTGTCTGTCTCTTCTTTCTACATTGAGTCTCTTCTGTCCAGGTGATAGGACTCCGTGTATGAAGGATAGGGCTTCGTTGACCAAACCCCTGCCGGCAGAGTAGGGCTAAAGACTGTGTCTAACGACTCGACTGTCCCGGAGGCCTAACCCTCCCAAGGACCGGTACTGACCGGCGGGCTGCTCGGTGTGGCACGGTAGACCCAAAATCTGAGCTGTGGGCTGCACAACGGGCCGTCTACGTTCTGAGAGAACCTGCTGATCGCGTCGTCCTGTCTGCGACGTTAAAGAATTCTTGAGGAGTTACGGGGGATCTCCTTAAATGCCTCCTGATCAGCAACAGGTTCTGCAGTGACGGCTGTAGTTTAGAGTCTAGGCTAGTGCCCCTAGTTGACAGGTTCTGAACCGGAGCGAAAGCCAGGTGGGCTTGACCGCAGGTGCTGGGCAGCTGGGTCTGGATTGCAAGGCCTGTGGTTGCGAAAGCTTCCGTCGGCCGTGGTAATCTGGCTGGAGCGAAGGGTAAGATTCTGTAGTCCATAGAGAGTCAGTCAGTCTTAAGTTAAGTAAGGGAGACGTCTAAGTGGTGAGGAGTGGAACCATTACTTGGTTGTGCATCTATCACCATGGTTGACACGCATATCGGAAAGAGCACTTCCCCTTACACAACCGAAGAGGAGGCTAAGGCCGCCGCCATCCTAAAAGAGAGAAGAGAGAAGGAGGCCAAGAAGAAGGCCTTGTTGGAGGCGCATGCGGCGAAGTTGAAAAAGATAGAGGAAGAGATGGCCAAAGAGAAGGAGAGGTTGAAGAAAGAAGAAGAAGAGAAGTTGAAGGCGGTGGAAGAGGAAGAAGAAGAAGAGGAAGAAGAACAACCACTGGAAATGTGAAGGCAGGAGGAAGAGGATAATCGAGTGGGAGGAAAAATGATCAATTGGAGAAGAAGATTACAGAGTGAGTTGCAGGTTTGTCTCTGGGAGAAGATGAGGAGGCCTTGATGTACGTGCCCACGGAAGAACAGGAGGCGGCCGTGAGAGAGTGGGAAGCTGAAGAAGATCCACTCAAATGGCAGGTTTTGGAAGATGAGAAAAGGATGGAGTGGAAGTTCCGTCTGACAAGGGAAAGGAAAAGAAGGATGAGGGCAGCAACGCAAGCGGCGAGAGAATTAGAGGAGATCAAGAAGCAGAGGGATCAAATGGCGGTACAAGTAGACTTATTGGGAAAGATAGAGATCCTGGCGAAGAACGTAGAACGCTTGGCCTAGGTCCAGGAGGAGCAGTTCCTGTTTGGGAGAAGTCAAGACATTGCCGTGCGTTTTATATGAGTGGGGCTCAAGGACTTTGCACGAGAATTAGTGACACAGGTGGGCTCGAAAGTGAGTGCCCGCCTAGAGGGCACTGAACGATACTGCGCATGCGCCATAGAGGGCGCCAAACTGGCAAGTACGTCCTCGTAGGGAGCCTGTCAAAGTCAAGTTTCCTGATTCCTACAGTGGGAAGAACGAGGAGAACTTTGACAACTGGGAGGCTAAAATTAAGACCTACGTGCACTTGCAAAAGGTCTCCCCAGATGAGCATGTGTTAGTCGCTATTCACGCGCTAAAGGAAGAGGCCGCCAGTTTTGCCCGATCCCTCGTCCGCGCTGCAAACTGCAACGAGGATGTAGTTGCTTACTCAGCGTTCACACCTCTCGCTGGTTTCCTTAAGTTGTTGCGCGAACGATTTGCCGATGTCTCGCGCAATGTCAAAGCTTCCGATAGGTTGCAGACTATCCACTCTCGTCAGTGGAGGAGTGCCAAGGCACTCAAAGGGGTAATGGACGAGTTAGTGGCTATCCCTGACCAGGGGGTCACAGAGACCAACTTGTCAACTTGGCTACCGGGCTATGCCCGAATCGTTACGAGGGCACTTCTTTGAGAAGAGCCAGCAGTCKACCATGACCTACGATGCGTTGAGCAGGGAAGTGGTAGCTTTTGAAGCACGGTCCATGTTAGTTTCCACCTTCTGGCACAAGGACCTTGACAAAGGGAAAAAGTGGAAGGGTCACACTATCTCGGGGCAGATCAAGACCAAGTATCGTCTGCTCCTCACGTTAGACGAGGGTAGTGTGGAAGAAGTCCCCTATGACCAAATAGAGTGGGGGCTAGAGGAGGAGAAGGAAGACAGTAGCGTGAGTCAGGGGAGGACTTACACTGCTGTCGCAACCGGAGGGAGGCCGCAAGGAAGAGGAGGAGGCCAGGGCCAGGGGGGGCGGGCCTCAGGTGGCYGTGTCCAGGGCGATCAGGGGGTTGGCGGTAGAGGAGGAAACCGCCAAGCGGGAGGAAGGGGTCAAGGTCCCCCGCAAAACCGTTCTGGTAACCGTTCACCCAATAGGGGTAATAGGCCACCCTATAGGAGAGGTGGTTGGCACCCAGGTCTGCCACAGGGCCGACCTTGGGAGGATTTGGGCCATGACCAGCGCGTCTGGCAGCAGCGTGTGGATCAGGGGCAGTGCGTCTTTTGCGGTGACCTTGGCCACATCATTCGATATTGTCCAAAGTATAGAGAGGCCCGATGGGCTGCCCAACAGGCAAAAGGCAGCTGCCGATAGGGGTTGCAACTGCCCCTACCATAAGGCCATGTGGGGAAACGAGCACGGGCCGGCAAGAAACTCCCACACCACATGAGCCTATGGCAGAGGTTGTAGACCGGTGCCTAGATAGCTGTCTGCAGACTGCTTGTGTTAGAGTCTCTTTAGGCACCTCCCTCACAGGCGTGGCAGACGAGTTGAAGGAGAGAATGCACGCATGGGCCAAGATGAAAAAGGAGAGTAAAGGACGGCTAGTGTTAGTAGATGTAGAAGTTTTCAGAAGTAGAGTAGGAGCCCTTATAGATTCTGTGGCTACCCGTAGTTATATTAGTCATAGAGCGCTGAAGAAGTTGAGGCTAGGGTTAAAAGTCCAAATATTAGAAGACCCCATAGTAAGTGTCCTCGCAGACAACCGCACTATGCGTGTTGAGGACTACGTAGAGGGAGTCCAGGCGTATTTCCGCCTAGAGAAAGATGGGAAGGTGGATAAAGTTCTCCATTCCCTGACTCTCTCATACACGATGACCTTCCTTTTGATATAGTCCTAGGTATGGACTGGGGGGAGGCAGCTGGGGCCACACTCCACTTGAGAGAGCATGAGTGTAGGCTCCCTAGCCCATCAGACGAAGTCAAGACTGCCCGTTTGTTCCATGCCTAAGGTGTTGATAACACCTTGGCACATTGCTGTCTAAGTGCTCCTACGTTCGCACGAATGGTGAAAAAGGAGAACTTAGAAGAACAGGTCTTCGTAGTTTACGTCAAGCCTGTCACTGAGCCTAAGGAGGAGAAGCCCATTGACCCAGCTATTGCCAAGCTGCTGGCGGAGTTCAAGTATTTAGCAGAGCCGCCGACAGGAGTAGTACCGCGGCCCATCAAGCATCGTATTGAGATAGAGCCTGGCAGTAGGACTCCCAAAGGAGACATTTACAGGATGTCCCCGCGGCAGTTAGAGGAGTTACGCAAACARTTAGACGAGCTCCTAGAGAAGGGTTGGATTAGGCCCAGTTCATCTCCTTTTGGAGTCTTGTTTGTCCCCAAGAAGGAAGGGGAGCTCAGAATGTGTATAGACTATAGGGATCTCAATGCTATCACCATAAAGAATGCAGAGCCGCTGCCCCGTATAGATGATCTTTTAGACCGGGTGCAGGGGTGCAAGTATTTTTCAAAGATAGATTTGAAGTCCAGATATCATCAGATAGAGGTCCATCCTGGTGATCAGTATAAGACCGCCTTCCGAACTAGGTATGGGCACTATGAGTTTATAGTCATGCCCTTTGGACTAACCAACGTGCCAACAACTTTTCAGCGTTGTATGAATGACCTGTTTAGGCCATGGTTAGATAGATTTGTAGTAGTATATCTAGATGATATTCTAGTTTTTAGCAAGACCCTCCAAGAGCACCAGGGTCATCTGAGGCAGGTCTTGGAGAAGCTGAGAGAGGCTAACTTCAAGATCAACCCCAAGAAGTGTGAGAGGGCAAAGACCCAGGTTTTGTACTTAGGCCACGTCTTAGACGGAGACGGCATTAAGCCAAAGGATAGCAAAATTGCAGCGATTAGGGATTGGCCTACACCCCACACGCTGACAGAGTTGCGATCGTTCTTAGGCCTAGCGAACTACTACAGGAAGTTTGTAAGCTGCACCCTTCGCAGATTGCTAAGGAAAGAAACAATCTGGAAGTGGGACAAGGATTGCACGTCTGCCATGAAGAAGTTGAAGCACGCGTTGATAGAGTACCCAGTCCTTAAGGTCGCCGATCCGTCCTTACCTTTCGTTGTTACCACTGACGCGAGCCAGTATGGCATAGGTGTTGTACTACAGCAAGACGATGGCAATGGATATAGACCCGTAGAGTTCATGTCAGCGAGGATGCCCTCAGAGAAGGTAGCCACCTCGACTTACGAGAGAGAACTAGACGCTCTCATGCAAGCATTAGAATACTGGAAGCACTACTTGCTTGGGAGGCACTTCAAAGTCTATTCAGACCACGAAACGTTAAGGTGGTTGAAGAGTCAGGCCAAGATGACTCCTAAGCTGACTAGGTGGGCCGCGGAGATAGACCAGTACGACTATGAGCTCAAGCCAGTTAAGGGCAAGTATAATGTAGTTGCGGATGCTCTAAGTAGGAGATCAGACTACTTTGGAGCGATAGTCCATTTTCTGGATATAGGAAAAGACCTGCAACAGAAAGTTAGAGAGTCATATGCGCAGGACCCTATCTACAGTGACCTTCTTAAGAAAGTGAAGGAGGCTCCAATAACCGAACCAGATTACAGCACTACTGACGAGTTGCTATTTGAGAAGACTAATGTAGTGGACCGACTGTGCGTCCCCAACAACGAAGAGATCCGTAGTTTGATCTTAGGGGAATGTCATGATACAGAGGGACACTTTGGTTGGCCCATAGACTCTAGCCAACCTAATGCTTGCGTATACCTGGCCAGGAATGAAGAATGACTGTATAGAGTATGTTCGCAGTTGCAAAGTTTGC